CCCCCCCCCCCAACCTTCCTAGAAAAAAAAGGAAATGAAATGGAATTGCCATAATGCATCGCTAATAATACATTTTATCCATTCAGATGCACTTTCCGGCCCAGACGGTTGTTATAACTGGAATAAGCAAGGAAATTACAGAGGGCATTGTGGCTTTCAGGGTAGCAACGTATATAAGAAGTGTGATGAAAAGTAAGCATTATTCATAATTATATGTTCGCAAAGCGTGCTAATTCTGAGAGTAACTCCAAGTGCATCTAAAGAAATCCCTGCTGTTGGCTTTTCTACCCCAATAAATTTTCTAAGATTGATCGAGACACTGGATCTGCATAACTAGCTAAAAAGATTACCTACCAGAAACCTTCTATAACTGTGAACGATTTTTTTATCCTTTTTTTTATCAAATTAATTGTTTCTTTTTTGTAGGGACAAGCTCTGTGGCATGCTTCAATGCACAAACGTAGAAGATAAGACTCACCCAATAATCGGACACCCCAAAGGCTCTTATGGACACACCTCTGGCGAAACACTGTGCAAGTTAGTACTATACTGTTGAGAGAAATTAAAGTGCTTTTTCCGTTCAAGAATTGACCCTTCACACCTTAACATTAGTATGCATACTCTTCTTACTGATCTTTGTCCATTTATTATGTTACTGGCGAAGAGAAATTGTCCAATAGTCAAGAGCTGCTAAATTTGGTGATCACTTCCTTTATTCTTACGACTGCAATGTTTGATTCAGGTTGATCTTTAAGAAGAAATTAGATGGTAGTCACTCAAACCATACTCACCCGTTGACCTTTTATAAAGTTAGACCACTTTAAGCGTATAGATCATTTTAACCATCTCGACTGGTTGGATCTAGGTAAACTAGTTGGACCAATGTAACCCTTTGGGCCAATTTAAGCTGTTTGATCATTTGATCCAGCAAGATCAATTCATTGGTTAAAGTGTTAAGGAATGGAGCGTTTTCAACCCTCCGCACCTCGCGATAGCATAGTACGTCCACGTTGTAGGACTCAACATGGAACCCGTCCCCCTCCCTCCTCCCAAATAGTTTCCTTGCTTCTACTATCCTTTAAGTTTTTTGTCCAAGAGGAGCTGAAAGATATACTTACCTCCTATTTATTGAATTTGTAGAAGTGCTTCTGTTAGTCTTGGCTCAGACATTCCCGATCCTGGTGAAACTTTGGAAGGGACAAAATGTGGAAAGAATATGGTATCTCTTAATTACGTTTCTGGTTGTTACCGAAAATATTTTAACCCATAATATTTTAAGGTCATCAATCGCTGCGACAGGCTTATTAGATCGTGTAGCTTGTCACGGTTTTCAGTCAATGCGCTTAAAGATGAAGAGTAAATCGTAGAAAGCACAATCCATTGAATTATATTCCCTAGTTTGTATCTTAAGTAAAGAAAAGAGCATGAGGTTTTTATGCCTTAGAGACCGGGTTACTAGTATTACTGTTCTTCGCTATTGATCAGCTTCTTGGAACACTTTTCCAATGCGTGTCTTCAAACCAAATCCAAACTAATGACAACGACAATCACAGGTGTCCAAAAATTGGGGAGATGACTTGTGATTAAGAGCTATGATTAAGATTAGTTGAGCGGTTTACGTGCATTTTCTTGCCCAATCTCACAGCGTAGTGAAGCAAAAGCGACGAAATTCCGTGTTATTTTAATATTGGATTGAAACTGCTCTATATTTCTTCATTATGCTTCACCTAGTCGCCCAAGCATCCATGGAGGGAATAGAATAAATTATTTATTTACTTAACAATTACTCCACGAGCGTGCGTTGGATATGAGATGAAAGATATCCAACGAAGCGCGTAGGGCATAATCAACTTCAAAATCATCATAATCATAGAGTATAATCATCTTAAATCCAACAAGTGCGAGTGGAATAATTGTTTTATTAAAAAACGCCCCAACATATAGATAAATCTATTCAACTTTAGTTTTAAGAACTTATGGAATGTTACAATGTGAGGGTTAACGCGTCTTCATGTGCGTGCAAGGCTTAATGGCTCATAACCCATAATTGCTAAGCCAATGAAAACTCTTGAATTGCATGATCCAGTGATCTAGTTTTCAATATTAGGTGATATTCATACAGGTCACGTGGACAAGATGTACGGAGGTCAATAAGGATTACTGAGTAACTTGGGAACGAATGTAAAGTGATTTTATGCGTCATATATTCCATGTATTACTAACACAAAAACACATCCTTTGTATTTTTTACTTAGCTTTGCATTCAGCGGAAATGTATCAGCATAGACGTGTTTAATGCCAATAACAAACCATGTCCAAACAACTGCTCAGGTGAAAACGGGGTAAGTGATTCTGTGTTAGTTGTAGCAAGTGTCCTTGTGCTCATGTTGATGTTATTTCCCAAGACTGGTCGTTGTGTAGTGTTAACGAGCAACACACATTCGTCACAGTTCCTCCACCCAAGAGTATACGTGAATATCGGCAAACTTTTATGGAAACGTAGAGAAGTGATGAGGTTAACTCTGCGATGGACTGGTATTTCCTTTACAAGAGGAGGGAGGGTCAGGAGTAGTTGTGATAATCCTGTTCGCTTAATGCTACTTAAGCTTGGGTAAGCCCTAAGTGGAGCCTTCTGAACGTAAGCTGATCTTGCCTTACGTTTCATCCACACTTAGGAGTCAAAAGGCGCTTCCCCCTCTCGTGCACACTCCCCGCCTTTTTCGGGTTAGTGTTGTGACTACTTCCTAACTACACCCTCTATCTTATTCAAACCCTTTAGATTTGTAACAACGATGCAGAGTGTTTCTGTCATAGTTGTTGGACAGGAGCAGATTGTAGTGTTCCACAGTGTGGAACAGAAGGTTAGTGGGTCTAAATGTATAACATGGTATCGCCTTGCGAACTCGGTCAGAAGTTAGAATAGCGATACATTAAAGAGGTATGTGCGGTACGAGTTCCTAGAAAGGTTCTGAGATGTTGTGTACGCTACAGTAATCTTAGAAACATAGGTTTTGTCGAGGGTGCTGTGTTGTTCATCTTACTGTCGTGGTGGATGGAAGACCGCATGGAGGACCTCGTGTTGAAAGAGTATATGACGTTTCATTTCCAAGACTTGTTGATTACATGTCTCCAGAGGACCTCAACAACCACTTGCAAGATTTTTAAGATGTACAGGACCAGATGAAAGTTCTAAATTTCGTCTTTTGGAAGCAATAAGTAAGATGCGACAGCTTGTGACCATCACGTGTTACTCAACATATTTGGATGCTTCAGCCTTTAATACTGGGTTGTTGGCTGGATTCTCACCAGGGTGGGGTTTAACACCAGAATCACTAGCTTTTTTAGTTCCACATAGGGGGTCGCGTTTATCTGAGGACCCCCTTTGGTTACGCCCTTGCACTATTTTCCGCTATCGACCACATTTCGTATTATCGCGATTTTTTTGTGCATTACACAATACTTCTTCTTAAAATCAATCAGTGCTTTCATGAATTAAACTTTCTCTTCACTGACTAAAAATTTAAAAGTCGTTCATAAAATTTAAATGTTCGAACGTTGTAAAGTAATACGCTTGAATTGAAAATAGTGCTCTTTGCAGTGCTACATTGTACAATATTTCTTTTTAAATAACCTGAAATAAATTTTCATAAAATTTAACTTTAAATTTAACTTACATTAACAGTAATGAGAGGTCATATTAAAATGATTTATTTTAATTCTTTAACGCGTACAGAAAGATGAAGGTTTGCCGTGCGTATAAAAATATCACATCGTGCTTGCCATTACTTACTCACGAATAGTATGATGATAAAAGATTAATGCCAAATTTAATATCACCAATACGACCTCATTGACATAAACTGCGACTGAGCTTCTTAGATATGAGACGTCGTAAGCTAATTGGTGTATCTAAACCATATTCGCGACTAAATGGTTACTTATAACTGTAAGATTTATTAAGGTTTGATATTTTTTTTTTGTAATAATCAGACTTAGATACATGACATAGCTCACATAACAACGGTGAAAATAATACTTCTTTTTGATTGGTTCGTAAACGTGTTTCGTGATTGGTCCTGAGAAAACTGTTCTTTTACGAAACGAACTTGAACTTAGTAAGATCCTCATGTAAATACACTTAATGTTAGTGACGCATCTAAAATAACTGTTTTGTAGTGTTATCAAGAATGAATAGTAGTTGGTGGATATTCCACACTCATCCACACTCTTGCTAGTTTATTAAACCCTTCCTTACGCACAGGTAATGGTACAGAGTACACAATAAGCACCCCAACTAATTTCACAGGTGTGCCAGGTAAGACCTTTATTTCCTCTGTCCTCACTGTTTAACGCTACTCATATATATATATATATACATATATGCACTGTTAATCTGTTATACGCTAATAACCTCTTAAGCCCTAATACTATTCTAAAGCTCTAACCTTGCTGTAACTTTAACGCCTAATTATACTGAAAACGTAGAATTATACATAGAAGTACCAGACTTTAGACTGTTTTTGCCGATGAGAGACTGGCCATTAGTGAATCGGGGATACGAAGATGCGCCTGGTATGACGGGAAGAAAAGGGAAACTTTTCTTCCGATGATAACCTGCACGCTTCGAATCAGTAAAATCCATTCTCTGGTAGCCTTGATACCTTGATAGATCACTGGTACATAGTTAAGATATCGCTCATAAATGTGACTGACTCTCACATTACATTCGGGGTAATGGGCATTTAACTCATATTCAAATCGCTTTTTGTTTCATATTCCGGATTCGTTGCAGATCCCTTAAAGGGGAAGAATCTTAGCAAATACTCTTCACTCCTAACGTTTCATTGCAAGTTAGAATTGTCGCTTATGCCCACATTTTAACCTCTGCCTTTCCAGTTCATAAAGCAAGAATTTGGGTGAATTTGAGATTAATTTTGTTTCCCAATCTGGTGAAAAACTTTCCGTCGTTTCATATGAGAGTCGATCACTTACCGAAGCTCTTCTGTGCGTTAATGCTTCTAACCATGATAAAAGAGTAAAAAGTAAACATGCCAACGTTATCCTTTACTAATGTCTTATCAAGTGGCACAGAACATGTCGAGCAACACACGGAGGTTCACACGAACATGGCATTTTATTTTTTTAGTTCATCGATGATCAATTGCTAAACATCGCGTCTTTAACATATACGAGTCATTATACTCGTCTAAAGGAAACCACACCATTAACTTATTGAGCGAAATAGTGATTATTAATCAATTTTAATAAGAAAATGATAGTAATAAATGATTAATAATAACTAAGTCTTTTTGTCACGTGGACGGTTTTCATTTCTGTTAATCCTGAAAAACTCATCAAACGAAGCAAAAACACTAACAACGAATAACAATTGAAGTTGTTGAATAAGGAATTGGAAGAACTTCCAGGTCTTAGTCATCACTTAGTCAGTGGGTGTTCTTGGTTGTTTAACAACTTCAATCCTTTAGATTTCTATAAATGCTTCCAAAAACGTAACAACTTTGATGTTGTATCGGTATTTGACCAAAAAGCTGCAGTTGTACTGAAAGCAGCCCAGTAGAACGTAAGACGAAACCATAGTTACCACATCGGCCGAACAGAACAAAGGTGAATTACTGAAGAGATCTGTGAGTACACTGAAACGTACCCAAGCGTTGATGTTAAGTTTTCCGTCTTATTGGTTTCAGACCAAACTTATGCAATAGCTATCCCACATAGCTTTCAGTACTTGATTTGTAATTTATTTGAGAGGGAGCAGTGTCACCTCTTAAGGAGTGGATTGAGGCAGTGGATGCTCTAAGAAATAACCATGAGAAAGAAAAAACTAAAAACACTTCGGTTTGCACAAACTTTTGTACGAAATTTCACGTAAGCATGCGTAAAAATCAGCTTGCTTGTCCGAACTTCATGAAGTAAGATTACGGCAAGAATCTGTTTCTAAAAGAAAAATGTATGCAAAGAATGCGCTAAGTAAACTGGACAACGTGGTTCAATATTGCTAGCAGTAACTTAGCCTTCACGTAGTCGACTTAAGTTGTTTCAAATATTAACAATATAATCTTTAAATTTTTATCGTGATAACGAGAGAGTTACAAGATAGGTTTTGACAAGAATAATGAGATTGACCCTTCAAGCTCTTACCTTTATTGGCAGGAGGAAATATCTTCAAAACTGTATAGAGAATTTAATCTTGATGCTGGCATCGTTCTGTCAACAGGGACTGCAGAACCTCAGGCAAAGCGAAGCAATTTGGCTGGGATTTTGATTTTGGTGTTTTTTATAATTTTCCTGATCGTTGGTGCTGTTTTTGCTTTTATTTACCGGAAGCAATTGAAAGAGAAATGGCAAACATTCAAGCAAAAGGCCCCTGTCAATAAAAGGTAAAGAAACTAAGTGTGGGTGTTTATAAGCCTTCATGGGTTTCCACCTTAGTTTTTTTTTTTCTTGACTTTGTTTGTCTACTTTTATCTGTGTGTACATTTTTTTTCTGTCTGTCTTTTCGGTTGGTCTTTGTGTCCTTTTCGTAGTATCTGTCTCTTTGCCTATTTGCATCTTTCTGTCGGTCAGTCTGTCTCTGCCTGATTCTCTGTTTCTCTCTGTCTGTTGTAATGTATCTGTTTCTATATCTGTTTCTATATCTGTCTGTCTGTCTGTCTGTCTGTTTTTTTGTTTGTTTGACGGACTGACGTACTGATTGTGTGTTTCGCGCTCACAGTGTTGGGGTTGTTTATTTGAAAATAGCTACCTCTCTTGTTGAGTACAGAGGCTACCTTGTGTAGGAACCTTTATCCTTGCTAGAATGAAGGCTTATTTTGATCTCATTGACTGGCAGATTTTATTTATATTTATCTGTATTTCATCTCGTTTCCTAGTTATCAAGGTCTGTCCCGGGCTTCTCCTAAACAAACCAGGGCTCGTAATGGAGCAGAAGCTACAGCAACGACAAATTCTGAGCCCTTAAAGCCGAGACCCGATATATCGGGGCCTACGCTCACAAGTACCACCCGTAAGGAGCCTGTAAATGTAACAACTAATCCGTTAGGGACAAGTAAATTCACAGCTGCATCCACTAAACAAGAACAACCGGCCTCTCAGCCACCAGTGGTCTTTAAGCCTACCCCACCGAAACCGGATAAACCTGAACCACCTGTTGTAGAAAAGGAGAAGCGTCCTCCCAACCTTCCACCTGTCAAACTTCGAAATCGTGATTGGCCACCCAAAGGTGACAAGACAGCATCATTAAATCGCGCCTCCAGTCCTCCGTCAGTAACAGAACCAACTAGACCGGTAAAACCTGTTAAACCTCCGAGACCAGAAAGTCACGCGGGTGTTTTAGATAAACCATCTGTCCCTCCCCACCCTGGCGTAAAGGCTTCGAAAGAATGGCCCCCTCGCGATAAGAAAAACGATACACATTCAAACCCAGCTCAGGGATCTAGAGCCCCTACGAGTCAACCTATAGTTCCACTAAGGCCGGTTCCGAAAGCTGTTAAAGGACCTTCAGAAGAAAGACCATCTTCCATTCCACTGAAACCGTCTGATATTAAAAAGGGCCTCGGAACCGGAAACGATAGGCCTCTTTCAGCTTCAAATGTTGCAAGCCCTAAAAAGGTTCCTCTTAAGCCCCCTGGGCCCATTCCAAAGCGTCCTGGATCAAAGCCGACGTGAACGACGGGATATCGCCATTATATGATGTACATAGAGATAGAATGTCCTGAAGTAAGAAATGCCCATAACATAGACAGCTATTGAATTCGTATAATAATCCGCCAGTAAGATATGATGAACGAGAAAGTTTTAAATTAGTCACCCATCGTAAATCGGGCTGCTTTCATTATAAAGTAAATTAATGATACAACATGCTAATTTAAGTAAGGTAAACTAACATACATTTAAACAATTTAACTAAGTCGATGTTTCAAATGATGTTACAAGGTGCGATAATCCTTTTATCACCAGGCAATATGTCACTTTCTTCAATGAAAAGACTGGGTGGTTAAACTTTTCCATCCAAGACAAGGAATTTGTTTTTATAATTAGTGTTTTTTATTAAGCATTATTCCACATAAATGAACGTTAAATCGTTGGTCTCGCGATGTAAGAATCAGGCCAATCAATGGCTTATTGATTAGCCAGACCCTCACATTGTGTGACAAACGGTTAAACGTTAATTTATTCATAATACCACGTTGAACAACAGCATTTTCTATAACACTATTACACGTGTTATTTTGCCACATTTTTTCCGCTGGGTTGGTGGGTACTTAAACACCTAAACAGGAAGGATGAAAAAAAAATGCAAGTATTAAGGAATTTTCTTTAATTGGTAATTCAGTTGTGTTTATGTTGGTGTGAATGTTCTTGTTACCTCTGATACAACTTGTTAAACCTTCTTAATATGGTCATCTCTTCGCAAATGGCTCAAAATTCAGCCCTTTATCTTAACCTGAAAAGATAAAAAGTTAGTTTCGAACATGAACAACGTAGTTAAATCCATGAAGTTATAGAATTGTTATGTTTTGTTGTGCTGTTCAAGACTTAACTTTTTAGGACAAAACTTAATTTGAAATGCCAAATTTTCTAGCTCGATCATCCTTAGTTTGGGAGACCTCTAGTGGAAACTCAGATTAGGATATGATTCTTTTTTTGATGCCTTTTCGGAAAGCGCCATTTTGTGGCGTTTGTCTGCATATGGTCAGATAGTACAATTTACACTGTCAAAGAACATTCTTAGTAGCCACCGGATGAAGTAATTCCTAAATCCTAGAAACCCACAAATCTTTGGACGAAATGGGGCGGCCAGACCAATCTGTTATAAAATTATTTAGCTTGTTTTGTAATCAGAGAGTGGATAGAATTCAGAAATTGACTAATTTGGCTCGACAATCCTGACAGTCGCAGTCTCAATTCCGATTGGCTACAAGCCCGCAGCTGAAGCACTGTTTTCGTGACCTTATTCCTACAGACAGATTTTCTGCTGTACTATTAAGATCATAGTGGAAGGCAACAGTTTCGAAGCAGCTAATGTATCAATATTATTGGATTCGCTTTACAGCGAGAATTGTCAAAAAGTAGGTTTGTGTATATCACTGGCTTGGCTGAAGCTGAAAGCCGAGGCGGTTGACGACAACTAAAGGCTTGATTATTCATGGAATTATGCTAAAACTTACTAAGAACAGAATACTTTCTATGAATTCACTGGTCTGGTCAATCATTTCCAGCTGATTGTAAACGCTCACATTAATCTCCAAACGTTTTATTTACGGTTTTCAACAACACTGTTACACGTATGTTCTCTGCATTAAAGTGTGAAGTTTAAAATAAATTTCTTCACTT